CCTTGCCAGCATTGGTCAATTCTGAACAGGATCCATACGCAACATGGTGTCTGCGGGGACTCATTGTTTAATGAGTCTTGTCTCTACTCCTTAGTGTGACTGGTGGTCCTCGACAAAATATCCATCATGTCCGAACGTTTATCAAGAGCCTTCACTGGCCCAATGTCTGATTTTTTTCAACACACACCACCATGTCCTTGAATGGCTGGACTGGACATTAACATTTGAACCACTATAAGTCCATGTATTTGCCATACACTAAATATATAAATAAAAGTTGAGAATATGTGTTCCTTTTTAAGATCAAATCAAAGACTTCCTGGATTTGAAATAAAAACCAAGGATGCTGCTGAACCTAATGCTAAACATTTTTGAAGACTTCTCCTCTCCCCCCTTTAACAAGGAAATAGCAGGAGGTAGATAAAAAAGGAATGGAATGACTGAAGACGTTTTATTAACCCATGTTGTTTTCTGCTTAGCTCCTAAAAGTGGTGGTGAAAGAACATCACGAATCTGGGTTAACTGTCATCGGTGCCTTTTCAAAACCAGCACTTCCAGAAGAGAAACTTATCAAGCTTTAGAGATGCAGTTCTAACTGGTTGCAGGGAGGGAAGTTAATGGCCACATGTAACCCAAACTGCCTGACATTTCTTTGTTCTTGCTGGTTGGGGAATTCCATACATCATACAAGTTGCCAAGTTTGAAAAAAATACTATTTTTACACAGTCAGATTCGTTTTCATTATTGCATATGGTCCCCACCTCAATACTCAAGTTTGCTAGCCTAAGACAACCCGAGTGCTGCTGCATGGTGGGGAGACATCCTATTGTTCTTTCCAGCTCCTACAGACCTAGAAGTTCAAAAGTGAGTGATCACAACTAGATAGATAGGTACCACTTTGGTGGGCCTTAATAGAGACATGAAAGGAGTCTCCAAATGGGAGTCTCCTGGACAACGATGATATCACTGGCTAATCCTTTCTCCCCAGAAGAGCCTCAGTGCTTCTGACATGAAAGCAGCAGCAGCAGCAGCAGCCTTAAAACATATATATAAATACATATACAAAAGTGCAGGTCCTGATGAGTAAATGAAACTAACTTCTGAGTCAGTTGAGTGTGACAGAACCAGAGGTGGGTATTCAGCAGGTTCTGACCAGTTCTGGAGAACCGGTAGCAGAAATTTTGAGTAGTTTGGAGAACTGGCAAATACCATCTCTGACTGGCCCTGCTTCCATCTATTCTCTGCCTCCCACTGAGTCCCAGCTGATCGTCTGGGTCTTCTTTTGTTGCCCTGCACAGGAGAACAGAGCTGGAAAGCAGGTTAGTGGGGTCCGGGAGGTAATGGGGATTTTACAGTCACCTTCCCCTGCCATGCCCACCAAGCCACGCCCACAGAACTGGTAGTAAAAAAAATCTGAATCCCACCACTGGACAGAATGCTGCATTCTAAATCCAATCCAAATATTCAAGTGGGCAAGAAACCTTCCCAAAGAATAAGCAGAACGTTTACTAGGCAAAGTGTCTTAGAAGCGTAAGAAAAATGATAGTGAGAAATGAGACTCATGACAGATAAGAGTGATACACCAATAGAAGCAAAGGGGGGAAAAGGCAGCAGGAAACATTTTTGTAAGCACTTTGATACCTTCTCCTAAAAGCTTGGAACTTCCTTGCCATGGAGGCTCTTGCCTTTTTCCTAAACTGAGTGGAACTTGACTTCTAATGACAGTCTGAGATTCACCTATTACCTTTGAGCACATTATGACTAACATGAATTCTGCTGATGTTTCATCAGGGTTCAATCCAGGTCTGCCAGTTTAAAGTTCAAGATGAGAAGTATGGGCCCCACATTGCAAAAGGATATAAATTTAAAATTTAAATCAACATTAAATTACATGTTCTCACCTTCTATATATGAATTAACTACACATGTGTCATGTAACTTATCTTGAATACCTGAAAGTAGCCTCCCAATTCTACCTTTAATAAGTGATTAGGTTGGAGAAAGATGCAGCAATGTCAATGTACAAGCAAGCACTGGTCAAAGGTCATATTTATTTCTTCAAATTGTTAGTTCAAGTACATAATTTGGTCCTAAGTCCCTGCCCTCTATATTGGGAATATTATTCTGAAAGAAATTTGGAACTTTCTCATGGCTCCATTAATATTTTCTCATTCAAATATGTTGTTGATGGCTTTCAAGTCCCTACTTTGCATTTCCACAGAGCACAAAAGGACTGGAAGCCTTTTCCTATTACAGAAATGCTTCTCTTGCTCAAGGAGATTCTTTGTGGTTTGTTAGTCATTAACTGAATCAGATTTCCACAGCTCTTCCTTGTTTTAAACACATGTTTATACAGAAGTTAACTCCTATGACCAACATTTGTTTATATATCAACAAATCACTGATGGCTCTTAGTGACCACAGATACTTTCGACCAGGGTCCTCAAATTTGGCAACTTTAGGACTTGAGAACTTCAGCTTCCAGAATTCTCCAGCCAGTTATGCCAAGTTGCCAAGTTTGAAGACCTCTGGTATACAGTTATCTATTTTAACTGAACATTTTCATCCCAATGAAAAGTGACTGTTACAAAACATGTTGTCACGAACATTAAAAGATAAGATGACCTCTAATATTTTGTTTTTAAGTAAAACCGATGAAGTATGCTTTCAGAACAGTTCCATCTGTACAAAAGGGTTTTCCATTTGACAAGAGCAAGCTGTTCTTAGTTACGGGGAAAGAATTTCAATAACATTTCAAAAACCTTGAAAACAATCTGTGTCCCTCTAGACCTGGTTAAAACAACGCTAAAATGTTCTACATTTAGACAAGTGCTGCACACTTTACACCGGGTTGAGTTGCCTTTTTTTCCAGACCCATATTTGATTTAAACAAATATAAAGTTAGACAGTAAACATTTTAGATGTTACTCTCTTCCTGTCCCCTAACTTACACAGCAGAAATAATGTAACATAATGCTTCTTTGCTAAGAACTCTAAGTGGATTAAATCTAGACATAGTTTTTTTTATGTACTTTCTATCAAGGCTTTGTTTTTCATACATAACACTGCAAATTCAACAGCTATAAACTGTCACCATAGAAGGAGAGAAGGAACAAAATGCAACTTCAAGCACAAAAGGAAGTCCTTTCTGGGTAATCAACTATTATCCTCAAGTGAGCTTATTTTTCCTTAGTGAATGGGAATAGGACAGGGCTGTCAAGTTGCAGCCCAGATATATCATGCGCTGGCCACGTCCATGCCCGGTTTAGCGAAGAGGGAAAAAGTTGCATCATGTCACGTGACAATGCCTGATGACGAGAGTTTGATACCCCTGGAATAGGAGATGTCATGCAGGGAGGGGGATTTAGTGAATGGGAGGGGATGCTTCCTGCATGAAATCTTCTCTCTTCCCCACACTCTAACTTTTTTTATTGCCAATGTGTGTCCCGGAATCAATACACCTGCACCTTGAATCTGCATCAAATTCCCACCCAAAGCAGATCAAGCATAAAATAGTAATTAAACTTGTTTGAATGTAACCTGCATAACTGACTGCTTCGCCATGTTAAGTTATACTTGAACTTCTTGATCCATCATAACATTTTCCTCACATAGTTAGACCTTAATATAAAAGACTTTAATATACTGCCAATATAATATACTGTCAAATGACAGTGAACTTGAGTCATATGATGAGTCATCTGTTTAACAAGGGCTTGCAAAAGGAAAACCTGAATATCAAGAAGAGAACTACACACCTCTTAAAGCCTTATCTAGTTTACCTTCAGTAACATATTTAACACACACGCTATATTCCACTTAATGGAAGACCACAAAAGCAATGAAATGTTCTAAAATAGTAAAAGGCAGCTATGAGTCTTTTGCAGATAATAATGATTTTAATTGTACTAGGTTTAATTTATCAATAGTCTCAAACAGGTTTCTTGATTAATTGACTATGTTTCTTTAAGTTAGTGTCGATTCTTAGCAACCACAGGAATACATTTTTTCCCCAACCTGGTTCTTCCAATCTTGTAGTAGTGCAACTCATCAGTGCTCTGAGTCTTTCCGCCTTGCTAATGTCATCCTCTTTTCTTCCCTTTCATCTTGATCAAGAGAGCCATCATTACAGCCTCATTCCTTTAATTACTTTCATTAAAAGCCTCATCTTTAAAAACAAGTTCTTCAAACTCTAATGTAATTTTAATTTACTACATGTAATCCAAATTGCTTTTGTTAAGACATATATGCTGATTTAAAACAAACTCTAATCAGATTTCTGCTTAAGCATGGAACCTCTTGCTTCACTACCTGATCTTATATATTGTCTTTTAAACCTCAAAATTTTAAGCTAGCATCTGTTGTTCACAAGCGATTCTTTAAAAGAAAGAATCTAAAACTATTTTCTTTATAAAATGGTGGCTGGGAATTCAGGGAATTGAAATCCACTCATTTTAAAGTTGTCAAAGTTGAATAGTACTAACTTACACAATCAGAATATATATACAGTGTGTATGTATGTGTGTGTATGTGGGTGTGCTTATGTATGTATGTATGAGTATATATATATAAAATTTGTTTTCGTAGATTTTCGCGGGTACAGGTATGCAGGTCTTGGCGTGTTCAGGTCTTTTCCCGTGTAAGATTGAGAGCACCTT